TCGTCAAGATTCTCCCACGGCTCCAAGACGTGTGTCGGCTCCAAAGCAGCACAAGCGCTTCATGCAAAGCTGGCTGAGAAGTTGCTCAGCCAGCTTGAACCCAGAAAGGCACCAGCAATAGATACTTAAGCCAGTGGGAAATCACATGGAAAAGAACATGGGAAGTTAAATGGAAACTGCTTCAATCAATATACTCGCTTTCGGGTTGAGGGTTCAGTTCAGGGTTGTCAAAACATGTCCGGTTGAGCTCATTGGGGTATGTGCACAATGATCTAGGCCCTATCATGGGTTCTGCTGCTGTTCGTAAGGAAACATAGCACATGCCCACACCTTTGCACATCTGCTAAACAGCAATGCGGACTTTAGGGACAGCCGTGGTTCTGGCAACATGATAGGTACATGCAGGGTAGCGTGCTCAAAGTTACAGGACACCAAGCCCTAAACCCTAATCATGTCCAGAAAGGCATTTCGGAGAATGGCTGCATGTCTCCCCTCAGCCTTGCTGTTATGTGAGCAACCTATCATTGGTATGCTGCTGCGATTCACGATCAGTACGGTAGAGGGAAGAAATCTGGCAACAATTCGGATCCCCAAAATACTGAAACCATTTATTGGGTTGGTACAAGATTTCCTCCCTGCTTGCCATGAAAACTCCATTCAGGGATTAGGCTTAGGGGTGTAGGGGTTTAGGTATGGGGTTTGGGGGTTTAGGTTTCAGGGGTTAGGGCCCTTTATTTATGGAAACCACTCTTTTGGCGTGCCTGGATGGCGCAGGGCCTCTGAGGTTGGATTGACTACCTCTGAGGAGGGTTCAGGGTTTAGAGGTTTAGGGTTTAGGATTTAGGGGTTCAGGGTCTAGGGGTTTAGGGTTTTGGGGAGGCATATCAGCACCGACATGGCAGTTTCCAAGAACTAGGGGCCCTGTTTGAAGGGGTTCCTTCATTAGGGAGTAATTATACCATGTTTGAATTTCATAAGGTGGGGGGGGCCCTGCGGATAGAAAATCACAGCGTCATGCCAATCCCTCAAGAATGTAGCCCTAGACCCTAAACCCTAAACACTTAACCCCTAAGCTTGAACGGATGTTGGGGTAGCGTCCTCGATCGGCACGCACAAGCTCTTCGCGCCCATCTTCAGACCTCCAGCTACCTCAACTTCTTGCGCCTTGCGCGGAATTGAAGGGTTATAGCCCCTTAAGTAGGGTTTAAGGGTTTAGTGTAGTTTTGTGATAATGGCAAATGGAAACTACTATTTAGGCTTTAGGGCTTAGGGGTTAGGGTTATAGGGACTACGGTTTAGGGTATAGTTCCCCTAAAGTAGATAGAATATGGGGTTTACGGTTAAGGGTTTAGGGATTAGGGTTTAGCGTATAGTCCCCCTTAAGTAGATAGAATATGGGATATATGGGGATCTTATTATAATATACCCGAAGCCATATTCTATCTACTTAAGGGGGACTACAGGGTTAAGGGTTCAGGGTAGAGGTTGCGGGGTTTAGGATGCAGGGTCTTGGGTTTGCAGTTCAGCAAGAACCACTGACAACCCCTAGATAATTAGCCCTGCGCTACATATACTTGAACTTGAAGAAAAACCAAAACCCTAGAACCCTGGCCCCTGGCCCTAAACCCAAAACTGTGATTGGGCGGTGTAAGGTTGCCTAGGTTCTCCAGTAACCCCCTTAATATTTCCAGCTTTAACTAGGGGACCCCAAAACAAAAAGGGAAAAAAGAGTACTACTGTGCAACCAAGTTACAGTGATGCCATGAAATCTAGACGAAGTTTAGGGTGTAGGGTAAGTTCAGGGTCGGAGCTTTGCCTTTGAGGAACCGGGGAAGACACAAGTTATGCCCAAAATCCAAACCCTAAACCCTAAATGGAAATAACCTACATGGAGCCCTGGCTGTGGAGCCCACATATGGCCCTATGCGACCCCTCAGTACACACAAATAACACCTATCTAGCCTAGTCCTACGCCGGAGGGCGCTTTGGGGCCTGCTGTTGGGGCATTACAAGAATACCACTCCTTCAAGCAGACAGGCTAGAAGAAGGTGGATCTCGTGAAAGTATATAGGTCGAATACACGATCAACACCCAACAGCTGGTCCTGCGAGACCTGCCGTACAGCCAGCATGCTGGTCTATGGCAGAGCATCAAATCCTAGGGCTCCAATTCTGAAGTCTGCCTAAGGCCTTGAGAAATCATGGCACGCATGCGGATGCCAACAGGACGCAACCTTGATGCTTGCAGTGGTAATGTCCAGTAAAAGTAATGGAACTAATTAACACAAGAACAATAAATAATCAGGGAGTTCCCTGAAATCAAGGGTCCTTGTCTGGAGGTACCCATTGTACCCAAAACAAAGATTCTGTTGTACAGGGCGCTACAGGGGTGCACCCCATACCCAGATGACAGTTCCATCAAATGTTGAAACCCTTCGGAATCCATAAACTAAAGCCCCCATTCGTTCAAGGACCCTCACAAAGATAGCCCTCTATTTTTTGAAACCCCCGGTACGAGCAATCTTCATGATGCCATTGACACAGTGGCCTCCTCCTTAGACTTGTCCTGGAGAGGCCGAAGAGACATGTTCGAATCAAACGGATCCCTAATCCCATTGCTACAAAAGGTCCCCAGCAAGGGTGCCTCCTAAGCAAAGAACAGTGCCATGATGCTGCATAATCTAGGGTTTAGGGTTCGGGTTTGGGGTTTAGGGCATAGTGCCATTGCTATGAGACTTCTCATGCCGCGCCATGTGTGTGACCATAGAGTAACCATGTCGCATACTGTCCTCATTGCTTGGCTCTGCTTCGTGCTACTGATGTTATTCTAGTACCTATGCCATGTCACCTATGTCCCATACTCTCTGAGCACCTAGGCCCTGAACCATGAGACGCAGTAGCTCACCGGATTTGCAGGAAGCAAAGGCCTCTCTACTGGGATGTCCATGCTTAGTTGTCAGTAGGGTTGCAGTTTGGGCTTCAGTCCCCCAAAGTTGGGCATACTTGTAATTGGCCGAGGTACAACCTCAACAAATAAGTACTCATGGATCTTCATGTATCCTTATGCCAAAGGAGGTATGGATAGAAAAAACCAACATGTAGGTTGGCGTCTCATTGTGGATCATTTGCTTGGGCACAAGAGACCTTCAGTTTACGCAAAGATCCTGCGCTGAACATCCGTACATATGTAAGACCTGATATCTGAACATGGAAGCACGAAAGTCTTGGCCCCTGCCTAGCAAGATCCCCTTGTTCAAGGACCTTTTGGCAAGTAAGCCCTCAGCCCTGAGCCCCTCAACATTAAACTCTCAGAGCTAAACCCTAATCCAAAATGCCTGGACCCTAATCCCCCCTAAACCCTAAACCTTATCCTGAAACCCTATACGTCTCAGACGCTTCAGAGGTCTAAATCTGACTTGCTCAGCGCGGCAGCATGCAAGCTCGGGAAGGCCATCCAGCATTCGGGGCATAAGTTAGGTTTAGGTTAAGGGTTCAAGGTTTAAAGTTCAGGGTCAGGAGGAGGAAGAGAACTTAGATTAGGGTTCCATCAGGGGGATGTAGGATTGCATGGGGCTTCCCTAAACCCTACACCATAATCCCTGAACAACCCTTCTTCGAGGGTCATGGGACTTACTTAGTAGGTAGATAGTGGCGCAATCATAGGGCTTATAAGTATACTTACTAGGTCCCCCTGACCCTTCAAGTAAACCCTAAACCCTAAATAACCACCCTTTACCCCACTGCCTAGCCCCTAAACCCTATATCCTCCCCCCTCAATATGTCCAGCCGTCCTTGATCTTTTCTTCGCACTCCTTCTCACCACAGAAAGGCACCAGGACCAGCTTGCCGGAGTTCAGGTTCGGACTGAAATCCTCCCACTGCTCACCGCGGTTTAGGGTTTAGGTAAATAGCCTTATCTTATTGTTTCATGTCGTCTAATTTGTTATTCGAAAATTCTATTTCTGAAGTATATTCAGAATATGGAGATGAAAAAATATTCAGATCTAAAGTCGTATGTACGGTATGTATGCATATTCTCCTGAAGAAACTGGATACACTTTTTAATGCTGCCCTGCAAACAGAGCAGGAATGCTGCGGCATGTATGTCTGTATGTCTGTATGCATGTATACATGTATGTATGTATGTATGTATGTATGTATGTATTTTAGTCGACAAGTTTAGGGCTTAGGGTTACATTCTTGAGGCCTTTCGGCATTTCCCGAAATTAGGGTCCCATTTTGGTACCCCTCAATATTGTGCCGTAATCTAACCTATGTCTATAACCAAATGGGGCCCATAGTTTTGAGAATAACCGATTTGCGGGATCTACATATACATCAGGGTTATATAGGTATGTATAGGTGTATATATATATATACGGGTTAGGGTTTAGGTTTTTTTGTGTTTTCTACATTCTTGCGGTGGATTTGAGTTGCTGAAAATTTCAGGACCAGCTTTGGGGTCCCTAGTAACAAGGGTTGTATTATATTTAGGTCTATATTGGGGTCCCGATTTAGCGCAACGGCCATGTTAGCGAATTTCCAAAAATCGCATAGAGCATATTGGGAGCCACCCTCAAAAGGAAAATGCTGTCTCGGGGTCTATGTCCCATGTTGGGGCCCCAGTTTATCGGAACGCCCATGTACATTGGGATCCGGCCCGCGCAATACCGGCCTCTGTCACTCTGGGAAGAACAAGAACAGACATTGAATCCATGAGGGGACCGGTATTGTACGACCCCTTTAGCTATCCCTGCTTCCATTTCATGAGAGCGGCTGCTCTGCGCAGAGACTCAAAGGTAAGCCGGGGAAAGAAGACATCTATTTGTTGGCGCGTTTGAATGCCTTTGCAATATTTGTGGGGGGGTCTCGCTGCAGGGGTACGCTACGGGGGCCAGCAAAGCATGAGGGGTTGCCTTTTCCACTCTATTGTATTGGGGATGGGAACTTGCTGGGAACATGTGCAGGTTCCTCACAGGCCACATGTAGGCAACGGAAGTCCTCCCATTTGTCGATTGATGCCAAACGGCTGTCCCGTTCAGAAAGAGCTTTGCTGTACAGCTCGTTATGGATGTCATCGAGCGTTCCTTCGTCGGACTGTATGAGGCCGGCTAAGTGGTAGTCACTAGTCCGCAAGGATAAGGCAATGTTAGAGCCTCTGGACTAAAACATGATACCTGTTACCAGGACCCTCAACCAAGGACCCCAACTTCTGAAAAGATGATCTAACTTACTTAGCCTACAGTACCCTGGGAATAAAAAAAGGTTTTTTTACATAATTAAAAGGAGTCCCAGAGCCCAATAAGTATAAAGGATCCCTAACTTTGATCCAGTATATCTCTTCATATCAAACTCCTGGTATCCCCCCTTCATAGCCCCCTATATAATCCCCTATGTAACCCTAAGCCCTAGAACCTAAACCCCTATAAGCCCCTAAACCCCTAAACCCTCAACCCCTAGACCCTAAACCCAAGTAGGGTTGCAGGTGCTGGCATTTGGCCGAGTGGCTCTTCACATCTGCTTCCAGGGAGTCATGCTTGCCGATCACTTTGCCAGCCTTGCGAAGCAAGTGGTGTAGTGGTTTTAGTGCTTAGGGCTTAGGAGTTTAGGGTTTAGGGGTCTAGGGTTTAGGGGTTAGGGAAGTGGGATGTTGGTTATTAGAGGGTGGCGGGTGGCTATTGGGACGATTGCAGGGTTGAGGATTTTTGGTTTCAAGGGCTGAGGATTTCGGATCTATCCCCCCTAAGCCCTAAACCCCTAATGCGGGCCCTTAGCCTGCTTGGGAATTCAGGGACCCATATGCTAAGGGTGCGCGCGTGGTATATCTAGCCGTCGAGTACTGCTGACCCAGCAAACCCTGCACTTCCTGCGTCCCAGCTTTCCAAAGAACTACTAGTTGGTGCAAGATGTCCTGCATCAAGAACCCTTCTACTAGGCAGCCCATGGGTAGTACAAAATTAGACTTGTAGCTACCATGCTTTGGACGAATATGGATAGCTACAATTATGACCGCTTGGCGGGGGCTTATAACCCTGACATAACTTCCAGGTACCTAGCTTGGTTGTCGCTCTGCAATCGCTTTGTATGTGACTGTATGTGTTATATGGGCTGTCTTTTTCTGAGCCGCGGCCGGCAGCATTGTTTTCCTAATTGTCTTTTTGCGTTGGCACTACTTTTACCAATCCAACGGCTAGAAATCACCATCCAAAAAACCTACACTATCACAATACCCGCGCTGCCTTCTGGTCCAGGATGTTTCTTTTGGCCATGACAAACTCACCTGCCACAAGGGGAGAGTTGAAGCACATCGCTTTGAGGAATGCAATAGGGTTATACGGGGCTTAAAAAAGGCTAGCGGCTATGGGGGTTATCTGGGAGTTACATAGCGGCTGTGTCGGGTCTATCTTGGGGCTAAGTATACAGGATTACATAGGGATTATGAAGAGATTACATAGGGGTGGTATCAGGACTATATAGCGCCAAATATGGACAATCAAATGCAAAAGAAAATGTAAAGTGGCATGTGTACATAGAGATACATACATGGGGGTGTACAAGTGTTAGTTCAGAACCAGAAAAAGCGCCCAACAAGCTGGCTTCTCTGACGATGAAACTCTGCCCACGGGCAACGTGACAGATTCTTTCGGAACAGACTTGGCTCTTCAGATTACATCGGCGCAGTTAGGCCGCAATGACGCCAGTGCAATAGCAAGTTCAGGAACACACACTTCGGGAACTCCTCAGATACCCCAGCAGCTTCGCGCAGTATCGATGTGCACAAATGTCTTGCACCCAAAAACTGATGTATGGAAGCATACCGCATAAATATATGCCACATGGAATTTCCTCCTAGTATTATCTGCAGCCACCAGACGAGTTCCCAACGTGCCGAAATCCCTGACATCTTGACACCACACCCCTAAGCCACTGAAGCTTTTAATGCTCTTCCTAAAATTCAAACCCTTTATACTTACCTTTGGCTAGCTGGGAATGAAGGAATGGAAACGAAAATGGAAACTACTATAATGGGTTATACAGGGACTGCTAAAAGGATCTATTCCCTCATCTCTAGCTAGCCAAAGGGAATTATAACCAGGGACTAACCCTAACCCCTAAGCCCTAAATCATAAGTGTATGCCTGGAGCCAACGGTTAAAAAGCCAAGCACGGCCTTTCTTGATATCCATCGGGCCCAACTCGATCCGCAAAGGCACGCCCTTCCTATGTCAGGTCAGCATTTAGGGCTTAGGGTATAGGGTTTAGGGCAGGATTTTGTGCCCTTTTTGCTGCAAACCCAAAACCCTCAACCCTGAGCCCTTGCAATCGTCCATGGTGGACCTGAACCAAAACCATATCTACAGTTCCCCGACCAGGCGGCTGAGTTTCCTGAGCTAACCCTTCCATCAGTAAAAATACATATGTGGATTCATGCCCCAAAAGGTTACTGCACAGGTTATCCACTCAGCTACAAGGTTTAGAGTTAGGAGTCAAGACCTGTGGGGTGGTAAAGAGTAGAGCAAAATGCTTGCCTGCTGCTACGGAATTAAGGTTTACGGCTTAGGGTTGGGCTACCATACTTTTGGTACAAGGTAAATGCTCCAGTGTCTTTATGCTGGTTACCTGGTTTCAACCTCCGCCTGAACAACCATCCAGAAGAGGGCCTATAAGGTCTACACTCCCCAAGGTCTAGGGTTTAGGGGTTTAGGGTTTAGGGTTCCAAAACTAGCATGGCAACCCAATAACAGCCCTATACAGCCGACTACTGTCCATTTCGCAGAAGGTTACGCGGAGCCCTAAACCCTTGGGGGAGGGTGAGGTTTGCTCGTGGTCCGCCCTCTTCGGCCTCGAGCAAGCGGACATGATTCGGCTTCAGAAATTGGAAGAAGCATGTCAAAACCCTAAACCCTAAACCCATAAAGAGAGACCCTAGGATGGAAGCCAATGACCCGCAGTTGACCTCATCTCGATCCTGTCCTTCTTGTGGCCACTCTCAAAAAGGGACCCCAAAGTTTCGCAAACCATCAAAATCAGAGGTTTCCCAAAATTGGGTGTTCTGTTTTGGGTGTCCCCCAAAATCAGGATTCTAGTATCTTAGGGGTTTATATGGTGGTCCCCATACTTCTAGAAACCCTGAACCCTAAAGCAAATCTGTCCAAGGTTCATCTCCCAGTTGTTGAACTTCCAACCAGGAGAGTAGGTGTTGTCCTGAGGAACGTCCTAAACCCTTAGCATTTAGAGCTCAAGATTTAGGGGACGTCTGTTTGAGGTTAAACCCTGAGCCCTAAAACCCCGGCAACTTGGCAACGTTCGGCCCTGAATCTCATACAGATTAAAGCCCAAGAAGCTTGAAGATTGACATAAGACGATTTATGCTACTTGTCCGTCTTTCTAGCTTTTGGCGTACGAGGAAGCTCATGTTCCAACCTCCTGGTTTCTACTGTAGCTCGAGGCAGGAGAGCACCCTGATTTGCAGGCACTCTTGTCTGCTTTTGATCACAACAACTGCGTGGCTGAGGCTACAGCATCATCCAGGTACACACGAACGCCCACCGCGGCCAACCTCTTCGAGTAGGACTCGGAGACCTCTAGCAAGGCTCAAGACTGCATGCGCGGCTTCTCTGGACCTGGAGTGCGTGGATGGTACCTCCACCTCCTAGAGAAGTCCTGCTGCCATAGATGGGCTGAACACATGTTGCCTTCCAACTGCTGCGGCAGCTAAAGCCCTGCGTGGAATGGCGCCACACCATGGAAGGGTGTAAACATCCCGTGTGACTGACAGCCCTCAAAGTGTGCGCGCTCCCTGTGTGCTTCAATGGATTTACGCAAATATGGGGCGCAACGCTTCACAATCTTACCGGATGAGGTTCTTGAAGCATTGCCATCGAGGCACTTCCGCCAGGATCTTCTTGTCCTCCTCCGTGCTGCTGGCTTTGATGCCCAAAGGAACGATCACAACCTGCCGCCGCTGCAAACATATCTCCAGAAGTTAAGGCAGCATTCTCTGCCCCCTTTCCACATGTTCACATGGGCTAAAGCCACAGTAAGGATTATGAGGAGGGTACTGTATGAGGGCTTTTGAGGGTCCACCGTAGCAAAAAATGTGGATGGAGCAGCACTCTACAGCCCTTTATTTATACCCTCTAGGCATTACAGTATGTTGGGGGATCCAACTGGTGTCAGATTTCCTCCAGCCACCCTTTCTGTACACCCAAAACATCCCAAGGCCTATAAACTGGGTTGCTGTTAACGAACTTAAATTAAGTTACTATATTGGGGAAACCCTATTATTTACTCTATATATACAAAAATATATCCATCATGGTAACCCTAAACCCTAAACCCTATATACCCATTATGGTAACTTAATTTAAGCTCCTTAACAGCAACCCAGTAAATCCTTTCCATCACGTTAAATGAAGCCCAGAACCCAGGGGTCTTCGCAGTTCCAAGGTCCCTTCGTTGGGCTTGACCTGCTTATGACCCGCTCCCCATAACTTTCTAAGTTCCGCTAAGCACCATCATCCCTATGAAGTCCCAGTTTCCATTTCTAAGGCTTAGGCTTTAGGGACCCTAAGCCCTAAACCCTTTGCCACTTGATTCTCCATCCTTGGGCTATCTATCTCTATATGGGTGGTTGTCAAAATTATAGTCCCTTGTTGGCTACCCTGAATATTAAGTGCCGTATTAAAATAGGGATCCCAAAAGGGACCATAATTTTGACAACCACCCATATACTCTTATATTACTCCCCTATATACTCCGTATATCGCCGGCACATGACCCATAGTCTACACTCCCAGTATCCCCCTTAATATCCCCTGCAACAGTCCCTATATAATCCGTTATATAACCCCTGTTCAGGATTTTAGACCCTAAATCCTAAATCCTGAACCCTATATAATCCCCTATATAACCCTTGTTTAGGGAGTTTAGACCCTAAACCCTAACTCCTAAACCCTATATAATCCCTATATAACCCCCCCTTAGGGAGTTTAGACCCTAAACCCTAAACAACCCTAAACCCTGAACCCTAAACCCTGAACCCTAAACCGTAAACCCTTACCACCCCTAAACCAGCGCTTTGGGCCTGGTAGCCAGCGACGTTCGGCGGAAGTACCAGGCCTTTGTCGTCTCCATGGACCATCACCTAGGGTTCAGGGTGGGGTTTAGGGTTTGGGTTTTAGGGCTTAGGATCTAGGGTTTAGGGTCTGGGGTTTGTGGCTTAGGGTCTAGGGTTGGGGTTTAAGGTTTGGGGTTTAGGGTCTTGGGTTTAGGGTTTAATGTCTAAGGGTTAGGGTCTGGGGTGTAGGGTTTGGGTAGGGTTTGGGGGTTAAAGTCTAGGGTTTAGGCTTTAGGGTCTGGGGTTTAGGTCTCCATGGACCAGCACCTGGCTCAAAGCCCTGAGCTGGCCCTAAACCCTAGACTAGGCAACCCAAGAGATGTGCACACGTAAACACATACATGGTTGTGGGGCCAGGGTCTAGGGCTTATGGATACGTGTACATAGGGCTTCGGATTATATAATAGATGTGAAGGAGGGGTTGTCAACAATGCGGTCCCTGTCGTGGTACCCTAAACCTTAAACCGTAGGGCCTCTTTTTATTAGGGGCCCCAAGAGAAGCCCGTAATTTTGACTACCTACCATGTCTAGATGCATGTAGGAATTCTAGTGGGGATTGTAAGTACCTTTTGGTGGGAGGCGTCAGCATTTGGGACCGTATTTCTCACAACTTGGCCTGCTGTTTAGGAACTGAAGCTAAGGTACCACAAAACCACATGATTTACACTATATCATTGTATGAGCTATAGTCTAAACTCCTTACAGGGGGGTTATATAGGGGATTATGTAGGGAACTATTACAGGGCTTATTAAGGGGGATACTAGGAGTTTAGATTATGGCTCATATGAAGGAATATGTATTTCCATGTGATGGTAACTTAATTTAGACTCCTCTGCCGCAGCCCGGCTAAAAGGTGGCTCTAAAGAGGGAGCATAAGGTTTGGGTTTAGGGTTTAGGGTTCCCACGAGGTTCTGGGGATTCCTTATATTAGTAGGGATGGAGAGATACTACCCACCAAGGTTTGGGGGTGTAGGGGTTTACGGGTTTTGGGGGTTTAGGATTTGAGGGCCAAGGGCAAGGCATTGGGGGAGAAAGCATCCAGGCTCTTCTGAGTAGTGTTTTTTGGTGATTGAACCTAGTAAGATTATCTTCCTTATATAGAATACTATACCCCAAAAGGAGGATATAATCTTACTCTATATTGGGTACCATAGTATCCCCAAATAAAACACTACTCTTCTAGGATGAGGTTTATGGATTTGGCGCTCAGCGTTTGGGCAAGATGTCCCAAGCCCTCACGCCTAGACCCTCAACCTTTTCTCAAGCGATTCAATAAGACGCTGCAACATCTCCAAACTTGGGTCAGTCTTTATGGTTCTCATTGTCTGGACACTGTTGTCTTGACTATGTGCACGTGACACATACGTTGGAACATTTCCACCTTGCCCCAAAAGGATGAAGTAAAACTAGATCTTCAAGAAGCCAAGGTTCCTAGGAGCTGAGAATTACCCAGAAATTACGGAGGTGCGTGCTGAAGACTTTGCACTTGAATTTGTTGATTGGCCCCCTCTTGTGGACTCTTGCTGCTACGGTAAAGCGTAAACCTTTAACCTACACTCAAAAGCCGCAGTGAGCCCCTGGCCATCACGCCGATGGTTCGCTGAGTAAGACCCCAGGAGTTCTGGTACGCATAGTCGATTGCGGTGCCCGTAGAATCTTTTGGATCCTGCATAAGGTTTAGGGTTAAGGGTTAGGATTATGAATACCAAGATAGTCAGGGTTATCTGCTCAGCTACGGAGTAGAGCACCCAGTAATTTAGGAATTTAACTGTGAAACGTGAAACCCTATCATTTCAAAACCCGCCCAGGAGCGGCTGCGGTGAATGTGTCAAGAAGTCGCGGGTTGGGTTGGGCGCACTGACCCTTGGTGTATATGGGGAGTGTAGGGAGATTCTTGGTCTAAAGACTACGACGAGACTGTTGAAAGACTCCCACGTTTTGCCTAGCTGAAACACCACAATCCATTTTTCGCCCACTCAAAACCCCAAGTAAACCAACGACTGGAAATATACAACCCTCAACCCTAACCTCAACGTCTCAGACCCTTACCCGAACCCCCGAGCCCTAAATCCTAAACTCTAATGAAACCGTGCACCTGGAACCCCTACACGCAAACAGTAACCCGAATCTGAAAATCCTGCTTTGGAAAACTCATGTCTCCATTTGCTGTTCCCCAGGCCTAAAAAACTAGTCAAGCGCCATCCTATAAATGTAATGATAGTAGCGTGAAATTTTGGTCTCCACTCTCCCGTAACTAAACCAAAAACCCAGAACCCTAAAACCCCAGTTACTAAGGATCTCCTGGAAGTTGATGCCGAACATTTTGGAAAAGTTTTGGCCTGGCTGATGGTCTAGGATTGAGGATGTAGGGTGCAGGGTTTAGGATTTCGGGTTTAGGGTATGGTCGAACGTCCGAACCCTCAACCCTGAATCTTGGATACTCCCCCCCCCCCACCCAGTCAGAGTCTGCAATACGGATAATATTAGGGCATATACGCAATCACATTATACGTCTTATCCAACTGTTACTGAGTGGTGCAGTATGCAAACTAAACCCTAGAAGGTCGGAAGTCAGGGCTCTGAACCTTTTTCGGAGGATGCCAGGGGCTCAGAAGACAATATACCCTGTATATATGAGCTATAGTCTAAACTCCCTAAAGAGGGTTATACAGTTATGCAGGGGATTGTATAGGGGAGTACGGTAGCGGTTGTAAAGGGGATACCAGGAGCTTAGACTATAGCTCATATGGCTCAGGGGATGTGGAGGGTTATGTAGGGTTTAGGGCCCGCCGCTTGTCACAGGGGGGGTTAGGGCGTGAGGGCTTGGGGGAAGAGTTCATGATGTTGCCCATCCTCAAGCAGGGCAGAAATCCGCAACACGCCATGATTTCTGAGAGAGGGCCATGCTAGCGTTAACTGACAGCTGCTCATACCATGACCAGGAAACACCATATGTTGTTGTGAAGGTTACGCTATTGCGATCAGGATTAATCGCAAGTCATCCACTGCTTACTAAGCAGTCTCAGATTGGTCCTCTTGGTGGTGCTGAGCCAAATAACGTCATATCGTGCTTATACCGAACTATACTCAGGAGGGTACCATCTTGTTTTCCATTGGGACTACTGTATCCCGCCCTAGTAAAACACAACTCATATGGCTCGTGATTTTTTGATCAAAGTCCCCCGACCGGACACCCAACATACTCACCAAGTCCAAAAACCATAGTAAACCCTAACCCTAAACCCTAAACCCTAACCCATGTCAACCAGAACAGAACCCCAGTTGCCATTCCATGGTTCAATTTGTTTCTTTTAATTCTCCCTTTCGGGGGTCCATACTCTAAACCCTGAACCCTAAACCGTCAGCCCCAAAATCCTAAACTCTACAGGTTTATATATATATATATATACATATATTTGTATGAATATAGATGTATGAATATATATATAAACATATTCATATATAGATATAGAGATATATGCTTTATAGCTACATGGGCCGCTTGGGTTGCTACTGAACTGGTTCGTTACTCGACTGCTGTGGCCGCGGCCAAGGTGGTGCGATGTGGCCTTAGCGCCGCACCACGCTTTGAGGCATGGCTCAGATTTAGGGTCTAGGGTCTAGGGTTTAGGGTTTGGGGCTTAAGGTTTACGTCCCCCCGCCTGATATGCCTCTATGTATGTATATGTGTCTAGAGGCAGGGAGGGATGGGGAGAGAGCATTTTACAGCATTCAACCTTCCAACACTCTACATCGTAAAGCCTATCCTCAAATCTCAGAGGCCCTCAGCCTGACAGCCTGCACCATATACCCTAAACCACAAAATCATCGGGATAGTGCACCAGATCATATGTACAGAAGCCATATGATAGCTTGTCCGAAGAAGGGTCCTTGTGTGGATCACCATGATAATATGGCCCAATGATTTAGGGCACCCAAGAAAGAATATATTTGAACAATGCCATATAATGCCTGGTGTCATCTACCTTAAGCCCTTTAAGCCCTAAACACCCTAAACTCTAAAACTAAACTCTACCCTTGTTCAGGGTCCAAGCACCCAAACAATAGGCGTTTAGGGACCAAAAACTATAATATTTGGGCCCTAAAGACCACTTATTTGGGTCCTTGGACCCTTGGGGTAATGTAACCTAGGGTGTAGTTGCCGAGGCACACCCTGAATGGCACGGCCTGTGGCGGGAATGAACGCCTGCCAGGGTTTAGGGCTTAGGGCTTCGGGTGGGGATCTAGGGGTTTAGGGTTTAGGGTTTAGGGTTGAAGTTCAGGGTTTAGGGTTTAGGGCTTAGGGTTTCGGAATTAGGCTTTGGGGGATCAGGGTTTAGGGACGTTGGGGGTTAGTGTAAAGGGAAGAGATCTACGGGATACCCTCGGATAGGAATGCAGAGGATGAAGAAAAGGTCTCAGGAGATCTTTCAAACAAGCCTACCCTAAATCCTCAACAAGTAAAATAGCTGTTGAAGCGCTTCCGTCTGGATGTCGTTTGGGATTGAGGACTTGCCCAGGACAGTCCAGAGCCAAAGAAGAAGCCTAGCTCTTCACCTTAACTAGGTTGCTGTTAAGGAAATCAAATTAAGCTACCATAATGGGCATATATAGTATTTAATAGGGTTTCCCCACTATTGTAACTTGAGCTGAATTCCATAACTATAGTCCACTTTAAAAGGAGGGTGAGGCATGAGAGGGCAACACTACGGGAACAAGAGCAGGGAGGCATGGCGTAGCGTGAAAGCGTCATCATCCAAGCTTCTTGACTCGGGCAAGTCGTTGGTAGCAGTTTAGACTGGCCAGGCGGGCCTCATGAACTTTCTATTCGTCAAAAAACAGGCGTTTTCATAAGTAGCGGGCCCCACTCCAACAAAACTAGATTCCATTGTAAGGGTACCACCAGAAATTGATTCCCAAATTTTGGAAACCCCCAGGTCATGAATGCCCCAATATAACCCTAATATTCTATCTACTTAAGGGGGACTATAACCCTAAACCCTAAATAGTAGCTTCCATTTCCTTTTCCATTATCCCCATATAACCCCAATATAACCCTAAGATCCTCGCCCGACATACCTCCTGAATAGGTGCCCTTCCAACCTTCTCGTGATCCAAGTATGGGGGATCAAAGTTGCAGACCCCTGAAATATTCGGGGGCATATTGTGCAGGGTAAAAAGAGTGGGGCCATAACTATGACAATGTATCATATATAGTCCTCCTTAAGTAGATAGAATATGGGGTATGTGGGGATCTTATCATGATATACCCAAAGCCATGTTCTAATTACCTACTTAAGGGGGAGTATATCCCTAGGGTTCACAGGGCCCCTGGGATCCCCATTGCCTCTACCGTAGTCGTGTAGTCGGCGCCCGGAAAAGTCTCGGCCTCTGACGCAGGGCTTACATACGGGAACCTGGCTGTTCATCAAATCTCTAAGTCCGTGGCAGGGGTCCAAGACAATATGAGCTCTAGTCTAAACTCCTAGCATCCCCCTTAATAAGCCTTGTAACACTCCCCTACATAATCCCCTATATAACCCCCCTCAAGGAGTTTAGACTACAGGTCATATGTTGTCGTGGGCTTGCAAGGGGGCAGTGGTTTTCTACCTGGTGCGTGCTAGGGAATGAGGGAGTGGGTCTCAACAATAGAACCCTAAAATCCCTCGCATTACTCTCTGTAACCGTAGCCAAACCCTAAGCCGTCATTTGCACTTTCCATCTAAGCAAAAGGAATTTTGAGGCCCACCTACTTGAGTGGACCTCGCAGATTAGGACTTCGGGTGTGGGTGTTAGGGTTTAGGGTTGAGGGGGGTCAAGGTTTATAGGGTTCGGGGCTTAGGGCTTGGGGCTTATGGGGATTTATGGAGGATCACATGGAAAAGTAAGTGGAACATTAAAGGAAACTGGGATTATGCAATTGCTTTTAAGGAAGACTATGAACATGAAAAGGGTTGCGATAATTGGGGTCCATATTGCGGCACCATATTTCTGGAAACCTCCACAAAGGGATGCGTGGGGTTTGTATAGGGTTTTAGGGTGCATGCTCGCCCCCCCAACCATTTCTTGGAACCGTATGAAGCCCGACTGTTAGCAACAGCACCTTTGATTTTTGGCGCCCTTTTCGAATCGAAACCCTATTCCCAAAACCCTACTCCCAAACCCTAAGCTCTAAACCCTAAGCCCTAAAGCCTAAACCCTAGGCCCTAAAGCCTAAGCCCCAAAGCCTAAACCCTAAGCCCTAAACCCTAAGCCCAAAAGCCGGAACCCTAAGACCTAAACCCTAAGCCCTAAGCCCCAAAACCCGTTCGCAGCAAGATAGTAGGCTCTCTAGGGATGGGTGGAGGGCGATGGCTGGGAGAACCCTCAACCGCACTACACCTAATCCCGTAAAATCAAGGTAGGCCCCACGTAGCCTTTTATATATATATATATATACCCTCCTCCTAGGACCCCTTTTAAAGGGGCCCCTAGTTTTTGGATGTTTTTGGAAACCTCACCTACAACCGAAACCCTGTTCCTGCAGGCAAAATGCTAAACACTCTAAACCCTGAAGCTTAAATCCTATAAACCCAACTTCGTCACTGGGGTCATCCCCATCAAGGCCTTTGTTTTCGTGCCCCGAACCACGGGAACGGCAAGCAGCTCCTGGTCAGCTGAAGGCACAAAGGC